CGCCACCTTAGGTGTACGTGGCTGGCGCCTTAGCCGGTTGAGCTATAGGCGCCGAGCCTGAGGTCTTTCTTAACTAATAAAATTTCTGTAGTTGAATTCAAGATTACAGGGATTATTGCTAGTAATTAAAGCTTCTTTAAAGAAACTGTTTTCATATCTTTTAAAATGATGTTGTTTTCATTTCTCAGGTCCAATATTTCCCTGTATTCAGTTATTTCATTACGGCCACTTCCTACAGATTATGTCCCTTCAGTAGTGATGCTTCCTGGTACTTGTCAAACCCAAGGTAATCACAGCATTGCAAAGTAATTTTTGAGGTATAATATTTTAAACCTTATAGGGGATATTACTGCAGAAGGCAAAGGTTAGTGCACTCAAACAAAGTGGTTTTTAACTGATATAAAATATTTTGAATGACTTTATTAATTAATGCAAAAATATAATTAATGTGGTATTGGGAAGATACCAAATAGCATATTAGTGAAGAAGAGGTGTTTTGGGTTTGGTGATTAGAGTTGTAGTTAATGTGAGAAAGTAAGGGAAAGAGGGAGAAAGGAAAAGAAAGAAATGAAGAGTTGACACGGCTATCCGAGTGAATGTGTTAGAAAATACAAATAGATTTGGAATGAATTAACTTGCTTTTTATGATAAAAACCTCATTTTGTTGTTTGTTTGTTTTATCCTCCCATTTTGTTTAAAGATGTAGAAGTATCAGGAGAAACAACAGAACCAAGTGATGAAATGATAGAGTATGAGTCACCAGAACAGTTGAATGAGCAACTGGTAACTCTTTCACTTCTTCCGGAATCACGATGGAAAAACCTTCTTAATCTTGATGTTATTAAGGTAATACTATAGTAAGTTGACATAATAGCGGGCTCTAAGCATACATTCCAGAAGGTTTTTTAAAGCAGAGATAGATTTCCCTTCTTCAAGGACAATAGGAGGAGCAGTTAATGTCTCTAGGATAACAACAGCAGTGCCACTTAATGGGCTGCTGTTTAATCTGGTGTGATTATCACATGACGTATATGTAAATATTTATGCAGTCTTTGAGAGCACACAGCAGATGTTTGGATGTGGCAAAGTGCAGCCTGCAACTATAGAGCTGTTAGAAATTGATGCTTTAAATCTAGCCTCTCAAATTACTTTTCTAGCATCTAAACAAGAGTAAAATAGTTACTGCTAGCTCTCAGAGTCTGAGGTAGGAGGATTGCTTGAGGTTAGGAGTTTGAGACCAGACTCTGCAAAATAGCAAGTGCCCATCTGTATATAAGAAAGGTGGCACACCAGCTCCTCAGGAGACTGAGGCAGGAAGATTGCTTGAACCCAGGAGTTCAAACAGCAGCAAACTGTGATTATACCACTGCATCAGCCTGGGTAACAGCAAGAAGCTGTCTCAGGAAAAAAAATTTAATACCGTAATGTGTGTATTTCTACTGCTAGATGTTTGAAAACCAGGAAAATTTCACCTGGCTTTCATCAAGCCACAGGTAAGCCTTTGTCATCCCACATTCTTCAACTGCAAGATTCTCAGAACTTGCTGTGTCAGGACCAGGCACGTAAGTTAGTGAAGGTGGGGACTAGATAATGGACCTAAAGGATATGGTGGTGAAAAAATACCTTGCACCTTGGTACTTGAAGAATTTATAATTTTACATGAAAAATGGACAACTATGGCATAGATTAGTGTTTTTGAAAGTTGTGTTTCATGACCTGCCTTTATAAGTAGCAAAAAGCAATTAAAAGGAGTAGAATAGAATGGAGTATTTCAGCTTACGTATTTTGAATCACAATATTGTAGTAATTATTCTTGTAGTTAATAACTTAGCACCAGAAAAGAAATGTGTGACTTGAGTAAGGAAAAAGAAGTTTTTCACATTAAACTTCCTCACAGAAATCAAAAGTGCTTCTTTTTTTGCTAACTTTTTGAAAGCTTGGACATTAGCATAAAGGTATGCTAACGCAGAGCATAGTTACGGAATCTCTCTGTCCAGGCTGTCAGTTCTAACGGGAGTACTTTATGAAATAGCTTTAAAAGTAAGACATGAAACAGTACAAATTGGTCAGTGTGGAAGGAGAAATCAGAATAATGCCCAACTAATTGAGCAAAGTTTTGGGCTGCTGTGCTCCTCACGAAGATACTACATAAAATATTACATGGAAACCTGAGCAAATTAATCTTTACGAGAAAAAAGTGCAAAACTTTCTGGTGTTTTATTTTCTGCTGATGAAAGATGATAACTTTCTACAAGTGTGGCTTACGTTTGTCCTGTGGTAACTTTTCTACTTCTACTTTTCTGTGTGCAATTGGATAACTTCCAGAGCTCTAAGGAGCTCCTCCGGAGCCTTACATTTTTTACAAATCAGTGATTATCCCCTTCCTAACTCACAGATGGTGTGTTACAAGGCTGACTGACTCATTACAACCCCCACCATCCCAAAGAAGGGCTCTTACAGTACAATTTGGTAGTACTTTGTCCTGCCTTCACATAACTCATACACAGATTTATACCATGGCTCTGTGAAGCTGTAAGTATTCCAAGCTTCCTTTCAAATACAAAATCTCCCCAGGTTACAGAGCTCCTAAAAACTAGAAGAGTACTGTGAGATAATACTGTGAAACTCCATTATTACCGTAGGTACTTTACCCCAGAAAGACTCTCATCAGATACTCCTGAGTTAGTGATACATGTCAGTGTATGCACCAAAACAAAATCAGTATCAGTGGGAATTCCAATAGAGTTTTTCCTAATGAAATTTTACTAATTCTTGAAATATTATAGCAATCACATTTTCTTGCTTTCTAAAGGCATAGAGTACCAAAGAAAAACAAAAATTCCCAACAAAATAGAAGAATTAGAGTCATGCTTAGTAAAAAAAATTATCAAATTACTTATAATGGCAGAGTCGGCTTCTGGCTCCAAAGGCCTTTTAAAAACTACCTTATTTTTGCTGTGTACCATGTGCTCCCACATTTTTGGCCCAAACTTACAGGAAAAAAACTTCTCTTTTAATTTTTTAATTCAAATTTGTATTTGTTTCTATTTAGCTACTTGTTTTTTGTATTATAAAGGAATTTTAGCATTTATTTTTTAACATTATGGAACAGAAATTTTATGTAACAAATAATTACAAAATGCAACAACAGATACGAGATATAGAAAATTTATGTACCAGTAACAAATCCTACAACCTATGCATTGCACATCCTTGTTTTTCCCTCAAAAATTTGGGCAAAATGGTGTATGTTGTGTGTCAATATTGTGTGTTTTCTAATAAGCATTTATGTAAACTTTGTTTTTTATTCCAGTTTGCAAAAGAGTCTGTAGTTGATGTAAAACAAGTTCAAAGTTGTATTCTCTCCTAAATATTAATGTAAATATTAATGTTTCAGGAAGATTAGCAGTGTATCTGAGAGCTTCTACACCCTGTTATTTTCTTTCTGATTTATCAGCAAGATACTAGAGGTCTAGCTCGGCGCCTGTGGCTCAAGCGGCTAAGGCGCCAGCCACATACACCTAAGGTGGCGGGTTTGAATCCCCAGCCCGGGCCCGCCAAGCAACAATGACGGCTGCAACCAAAAAATGGCCAGGCGTTGTGGTGGGCGCCTGTAGTCCCAGCTACTTGGGAGGTTGAGGCAGGAGACTCGCTTGAGCCCAGGAGTTGGAGGTTGCTGTGAGCTGTGATGCCATAGCACTCTACCCAGGGGGATAGCTTGAGGCTCTGTCTCAAAAAAAAAAAAAAAAAAAATACTAGAGGTCTGCATTGGGAAGCCCAGGTTAAGGATAGCTGTAGTGGCTCAGCGCCTGTGACTCAAGCGGCTAAGGTGCCAGCCACATACACCTGAGCTGGTAGGTTCGAATCCAGCCTGGGCCTGCCAGACAACAATGATGGCTGCAACCAAAAAATAGCTGGGCATTGTGGCAGGCGCCTGTGGTCCCAGCTACTTGGGAGGTGGAGGCAGGAGACTTGCTTGAGCCCAGGAGCTGGAGGTTTCTGTGAGCTGTGATGCCACAGCACTCTACCCAGGGGGACAGCTTGAGACTCTGTCTCAAAAAAAAAAATAAAGGATAGCTGTAGTATATTGGTCAGATTACTACCTCAAAAATTTGAGCACAATGATGCACATGTGTTACACAGTATACGTCTGTGTTTTATATTAAGCATTTATGTAAACTTTGCTTTTTATTCCATTTTGTGAAAGAGCCTATAGTTGATACAAAACAAGTTCAAAATTATATCTTCTCTTAAATATGCCTGTAAATATTAATATTTCAGGAAGATTGGCAGTATATCTTAGAGCTTCTCTTACGCCCTGTTATTTTCTTTCTGATCTATCAGTAAGGTCTGCATCGGGAAGCCCAGGCTAAGGATAGCTGTGGTATTGGTCAGATTAACATTCTAATGTGAAAAGTTTGATTCCTTTAATTTTTGAGTACTTTTTAAATTGATTTGGAATTAAATATTAGCAATTATTAGCAGAATGATCACTTTAGTCTTTTTTTTTCTTTCCATTTTCTCTTTATCAGAAAAAGAATAAACCAAAGGAACCACCCAAAGTGCCCAAATCAGCACCATTTTTTATTCCAACAGTTCCTGGCCTTGTACCCAGATATGCTACACCTGAACAAAATAATGATCCCCAGCAGGTAAAAACCCGATGAGAGCATTCCAAATATATGAGTGTATGTTTGTATACTTTGTGTAACTCTTTACCAAGAGTTACAGAGTAAAGTAATGATACTTTTTAATTACAAACTATACCTTTTTGTAATTATGTTTCTTTAAATAACATGAATTTGTTTTTATTTAAGTCTAAAGTGGTCAGTCTTGGAATTTTGGCCCAAAAATCAGATTTCTGCTCGAAACTTGAAGAAGGACTCATAAATAACAAGTGTAAGTTGAGTTATAAAATATTTTAGCAAATATCTATAGCTTTTTTTATTTTATATGAGGAAAATTGAAGGAAAGATCAGATTTCTCAGCTAAGAGAGTAAAAATTGAAAGGTTTGAAATTTTGATTCTAATCTGAAATAATTTATTTTTGTATTTTGTGCACTAAACTATTATCAACTAGTGTTGATAATATAAAACTCTGTTGGAAATTTTTTTAACTTTCCATATAGAAAATTCAAATTTTTTGCTATTTGTAAATGGTCACTTTTATTGACATTTGTAATAAGGAATTTTCTTCTTGATGTTGACAGAATGTCAAACTTGTGTCATTTTTAATTTTGAAGGCTATAGTGTGTAATTTATAAAGGTAAGCCATAACAACTATAAGTCTCTTGAGAAATTTGACTTACCCTCTTGTTTCATGATCCAGATGCTTTTGTTTTCATACCAATAGCACTTGAGTCCATGTTGGTAAAAGTCAAAGAATGGTACTGACAGTCCCTTGTAAATGGCTTGTTATGTACTTATGAGGGGAAAAAAGAAAAAACGCTATTGTTTAATATACCTGTAAGGACCTAAAATTGATTAGATATTTGTCATTAGTGGTTCTTTTTTAGAAAGCTAAAGGCAGGGTAGTGCCTGTGGCTCAGTGGGTAGGTTGTTGGCCCCATATACTGAGGGTGGCGGTTTCAAACCTGGCCCCAGCCAAACTGCAACAAAAAAGTAGCCAGGTGCTGTGGCAGGTGCCTGTAGTCCCAGCTACTTGGGGAGGCTGAGGCAAGAGAATCACCTAAGCCCAGGAGCTGGAGGTTGCTGTGAACTGTGTGACGCCATGGAACTCTATTGAGGGCGATAAAGTGAGACTGTCTCTACCAAAAAAAAAAAAAAAAAACTAAAACCATAGTCATTACAATTGTACTTGCAAACTATAAAAATGGTTTAATGTATTCAGTGTGTTTTTATAGGATGCATATGAAACAAGAGTATTTACTTATAGGAAGAAGTAGTAAATTTTAGCTGAATAAGAGTATGGAGTGGGTTCTTTCTCTTCTTACTTCATGTATTTTTGCATTGTTAATATTTCTTAATGATTATGTACTTATGTAATTTTATAACAAAGAGCAAGAAAGAAAAATAAATTCCCTCTCTCATCCTAGTCCCAGTGCTAGCCACTGTAAGTAGTTTGATATATCCCTTTATAGCCTTCTTATATTAGGATTTGTTCTGAGTAATTTAGGAGCATCTTACATTATCTGTTGTCAAGCATTAGGTTTTTTTAGCAGCAGGAAAAAGATTGAATTACTTAAAAAATGCAAAAAAAAGTGCTTTTACCACTTTTTATTGTATTGCTCTCTTCATTAATTCTTTTTT